GGTGGTCCTGCGCCCAGAGGGGCTGTCAGGGCGGCTGTGTGTCCGTCTCCGGGCATGGTCCGCCAAACCGTTTCCCCGAGTAGTTCTCTGCTGCGGTGAAGTGCGTCTGGAGGCGGAGAGCTCGCGCTCATCTCGTCGACTTTGTGCTTGCAGCCTTGATGTCAGTGAAGGAGATGGCCAAGGGCATCACCTATGACGACCCCATTAAAACCAGGTGTGTTTCACGGGACAGAGGTTGTCTCCCTGAAGGCAGCGCTTCCTCACGGCTGAGGAGAGCTAGAGGCTGTGCAGCCTCATGGGAGGAGCACCGCTCCGCGGCTGCTGGCTTTGCTCTTGCTTTGCTGCCTGGCCTCTTACCGCTCTACATAAGACTGAAGCCTTGAGTCGCCCTGAGCGTTATTTTTTATAAAGTTAAGATTTTCTAGAGTATATTTATGTTAATCTTGAAGACTTGAGGTGGGTCTTCAGAGCTTGGAGAGGTGGCTAAGCTAGAGGAAGAGCCTGGGAGAGCCTACAGAGCCAGTGCTGCTCAAGACAGTGTCAGAGATGATCAAGATGTGTCCAGAAGGTTTTGGTGCATTCCGTCCACCACCCATAGCCTGTTCTCAGCTGTTAGCTCAGAACTTCTCACTGAGACTTTGGGGAAAGATTTAATGCGTGGATCTGGCTTGGATCTGCTCCGGTGCTCACACCATGAACTCCCTTGGCTTACCTGTTTTCCCTGGTGGGATACTGGAGCCCGACAGGGAGTTCTGCTTGGGCCTCCATGGGGGCTGCTGCCTCTGGAGCCCCAGCCTTGTTCCGGACCCCAACCTTTCTTTGTTGCCTTTGCAGCTGGAGAGCACCCCGTCACATCCTGAGCATGTCGGAGGCACGGCACGATCGCGTGCGCAAGAAGTACCACATCCTGGTGGAGGGGGAAGGCATCCCGCCCCCCATCAAGAGCTTCAAGGAGATGAAGTTCCCAGCAGGTGGGCCAGGAGAGGGGCCTGGCGGGGCGGGGGACAGCGTTGTCCTGGGACACACACGGCAGCAAGCGAGGGGGGCACAGGCGGGGGCGCCCAGCAGGTGGGCCAGGAGAGGGGCCTGGCGGGGCGGGGGACAGCGTTGTCCTGGGACACACACGGCAGCAAGCGAGGCGGTCAGAGCTGTGATGCTGGGTGTTGGTGGGCTCACAGCTTAGGTTCCCACCAGTGGCTGTGTCGCCTCGCTGCTGGCCCGAGGGCTGTTTGTCGCTGGTGGAGGAGCTGCTGCTGGGAAGGGAAGGAGGGAGGAGATTTCAGGTCACGAATGTGTGCGCCACTTGTTCTCTGACAGCTATCCTGAGGGGCCTGAAGAAGAAAGGAATCCAGCAGCCAACGCCCATACAGATCCAAGGCATCCCCACGATGTGAGTGCTCTGTCCCCAGCCCGGAGGGGGGAACGGTTGCTCCCTACAGCCCACCCCGTGGTGTGACCCAGGCCCTCTTCCCTGGGGAAATGTGTGCCCCGTTGCCTTGCTCAGCCCTGGAGCTCTGAGCCGTTTGGTAACGCTCCTCCTCGCCATCGGCCCTGTTCCCCTGCCAGCCTCTCGGGAAGGGACATGATCGGCATTGCGTTCACTGGCTCGGGGAAGACCTTGGTGTTCACCCTCCCGGTGATCATGTTCTGCCTGGAGCAGGAGAAGAGGCTGCCATTTTCCAAGCGAGAGGGACCCTACGGACTCATCATCTGTCCCTCAGTGAGTGCTGGGGCGCGGTGACGGGTGGGAGGAAGCTTTTGTCGGTGTTCGGTGGCAGTCGCAGGTCCTCCCTGCACGGAGCGGTAGGAACGAGTAAGCTTTGTCTGTGCAGCGCGAGCTGGCCCGGCAGACCCACGGCATCATTGAGTACTACTGCCGCCTGCTGCAGGAGGACGGCCTGCCCCCGCTGCGCTGCGCCCTCTGCATCGGGGGCATGTCTGTCAAGGAGCAGATGGAGACAATCAAACAGTAAGACCTTCCTGGGGGGTTGCTGGGGCTGGGGCTCTGTTTTCTGCAGGGGAGGGAGGGGTGACACCCTGGCTGGGTGGCTTCGGGAAGGTGACGTGCCAGGCGGGCTTTACCTTCCCTACGTGTCGCTGCGTGGGGCAGGACTCAGAGTGCCTGACCGCGGGCCTTGCTCGTCCCGCAGTGGTGTGCACATGATGGTGGCAACCCCTGGCCGCCTGATGGACCTGCTGCAGAAGAAGATGGTGAGCCTGGACATCTGCCGTTACTTGGCCTTGGATGAGGCCGACAGGATGATCGACATGGGTTTTGAGGGCGACATCCGTACCATCTTCTCCTACTTCAAGGTACTGAATTGGCACGATGCAAGCACCCCGAAGCTCAATCGCTGCACCCGCCTGCTTGGGTGGGTGCTAAATCCTTGCCCACCCTGTGTTCCTCGCACAGGGCCAGCGGCAGACCCTCCTCTTCAGTGCCACCATGCCCAAGAAGATCCAGAACTTTGCCAAGAGTGCCCTGGTGAAGCCAATCACCATTAACGTTGGGCGAGCGGGTGCTGCCAGCCTGGACGTTGTGCAGGTGAGGTGGTTGGGTGCTCCCCCATGCCTGTGGGGGTGGCCGGCACCCTTCATGAGGGCACTTGATGCATCCCGTGTCAGGCAGCTGGGCTTCGCCGCCCTCCTTCCCGAGAGGTTAAGGGATGCCGAGCAACGGCAGTTTCTCTGCTGGCCTCCTGCCTCATCTCCGTGCTTCTTCCTAGGAAGTGGAGTACGTGAAGGAGGAGGCCAAGATGGTGTACCTGCTCGAGTGCCTGCAGAAGCCCCCGCCGCCGGTG